GGCAAATGAATATTTAACAACACGAACTCGGCTCAGTTTGGGCTAGCTATGACAGTTTGGGCTAGCTATGACATCGCTTCTGCCAACAGCATCTGTAGCGTTCCAGAAACGTGTCCCTACCTCCCCAGCCAAGATGAGCAAGGCTCCGCAGAGAAGAGGTGCAACACCACGAGACAGTAGCTTCCCTGGGAAGGGAAAAAATGGCATGAAAAAGGCAGTACCAGCAATTCCCAGCTCCTATGGGAGTGGAAGGAACCAGGCGTTTGGCTGGTTCACAGGGGAAGAAGGAAAGGGCAGAAGAGTGGAAAGAAACCTCCAGTTGTAGGGGATGGGAGAAGCAGCTTATTTTGTGATTGCACTAGAATGAGCTACCAAGGAGGGTCAGAGGGGAAGATCACACATAGATTTTAATCTTAATAGGATGTGTGTTCTGACCGCTGTGGAGGAACACTGAAGATGTCGTCTTCCTCCGGCACAGTGGATATGTTTTTATTCAATACAGTACACTTCAGGTGAACCAAGAACACTTTTATATCCTACAAGTGGAAGTGAGAGGAAGTGACTGTAATTAAAGGAAAGGGGGTGAAGAGGAGTTGGTAGAAATAATATATGAAATCAGGCCAAAGTTTTAGGGTCAGAATTAGCAAGATGCATTCTAGGAAAAGATTAGGAGCACAAATCTGCTGAAATGTAGTTACTTGGCTGGGAATTGGGTTAAAATATCTCCCCCTAATAAGCCAAGCACTGAAGCATTCCCTGTGGCTTTTTTTTTTTTTTTTTTTTTCTTTTTAGTTCCTACAGTAGATTCAGAGAGAGATCAAAGTCACAACATCATCATCACCAAATTTTCCTTAAGCCATGAGATTACTGCTGCTTTTGGTGAAATCCTTGAAAGCAGGGACAGAACTGTTGTCACATTTTTGAAGATCCCTTCTTCTCAGCTGTGCTGGTGGGGACAATAGGTTTGGGTAAAGCAGAGGAAAGCTGCCTGCTGACTTCTATTATTCCTTTTCATTACTTTTCTAGGACTGAAAAAAGAACATCCTAGGAACGCTTTCTTTTGGGAAACTGTCACACATAAAATCTTGCATAAAATAAATCTTAAATAGGGACATTGTAGCTATTAGAGTGCTTTGTAATGAGATGGCAGTCCCGGATGGGCATCTCACTTTATGTACAGTACTATTTTATACATGAAGCCATCTAATAAGATATATGTGTCCTTTAATTAAGGTCTAGCGTACAGCATAGTAGCAATGAAGGAATATGATGAAAAGAAATGGAAAAAGAAAGAGCTTTATTTACCACACTGAGAAGCCTTTATCGTATGGAAATGATCAGAATTTAAACTTTTATCATCTGTCACAGTTTGCTGCTGCTTTAATTAAAATAACCGCAAGGATGTGTACAGTGAGCCTGGCTAGGAGTGCTTCATGCTCTTAATGACTGTCAGATGGGAAGGCGAGGGGTACAGAGAGGGCAGGACTGCAGGAAGATCCGGAGGGAGATGGTGCCAGATGGCCAGGCTTATTTTATTAATTTAGATCTCCGTTATGGCTTCTTTTTTCTTCATTTCTCCATAGGATGAATTAGTGTAATGGGAATAATTTCACAGCCACAGTATGACGTGTTTAACTCTTCAGAGCCCATAGCACCGTAGTGAAGAGCCTGCGTTAGTTATGGGTCCTGTCGGCTGGCCACCTCCGAGGCCCCAGCTCCAGCCCAGGTGCTTGGTCCTCAGCAGCTCTCCCTCAGTTAATTTGCTGAGTGCTGCTGTCCTGAACGAGTTCCAGCTTTGATCATTGCAGCAAGGTAACACTAAGGCAGCGTTTTGAGCTGCTTCTCTCTTGTTACCACCTCACCTGCTCAGGCAGCGTGCTTCAGGGGCTGTCCATGCTGCCAGCTTTGCCACATGTTTTGGGCCAAGCTTATCTCTACAAAACCTTCTTCACTCTTCTTCTTCCAGCTGTTGGGTGCCTGGACACCCACAAAGCATAGCAAAGTACTGAGGAAAGTGAACTTAAAAGATTGTATTTATTTTTTTTCCTCTCTGGCTTTATGTCCTTGCATCTGGTGCTCAGTTACTGAGGTATCTGCTGCCTCCCAGTGGCCTTTTCTAGAAGCTGCACACAACTGGAGCTAGTGATTTTAAGTATTATTTAGGCTTAGTAGTTTAGAGATTATAAAAAAGGAGTATCATCTTCTAAAAGTCTGTTTAGCACAGTCTAAAGCAAGAAACTGCCGAGGTGTTTGCACTAAGAGCAGGGGATTTTAATTCCTTTCTGTGTTCACTGTGATAACAAAGGAGTTTCAATTTGTCAGGACTTCTGCGTCATCAGTGGTTATTTGATTAGTATTAGCAACAAAAAGAACTTGGCTTCTGTGATTCAATGAACAAAACAACCAGATTTAGGAAGAGTGTCTAGTTCCCGAATTCTCTATAAAAAGCCTGTTCTTTAATTCACTTCGAGTTGATTCAGAAATCTGCATCACACTTCAGTCATTCTTGGATTCCAGTAAGGTGGCTAGGCTCATTTTGATCCCAGCTGTATAGCTGGAACAAATTACAAGGTGCATTTCTATATACCGTGAGTTTAGCAACACATGCAGGGGAAAAAAAAATTCACCCTGAAAATCTATGGTATGTATCATGAAAAGAAAAAACCAAACCAGCTCAAAATCATGATGAAGCCTTGCGCTATAACACAGGGAATAAGGCATAACATTTTCAAGATTTTGACTTAATAATTACACTTTTGAACATCTGTTCCTATAGTTTTGAAAATCTCTTGTATTGGAATTGTTGTTTTTTTCCAAGCTATGTGTGTTTGTAGTTGTTTGCAAGCCAATCCCCAAGAATTTCATAGGTGTAGGAAAACTGCATTTTGTCAGTCCAAGGCTGACAGTAACATAACTTTTGATAGCAAAGTAATTCATGCTGTCACCTCCACTGGCTCTACAGTGTTCATTCCTGTGCTAATGACAAAGCTTGTGCTTTTCTGAGGACGATGATGAAGACAAGAGGTAGGGATGCCTGGGAGCCATCAGTAAGTATTTGGGGAGCCTGTGGGGTGATGATGAAATAAGAGATCTCATGTAGTCATTGAGCATCGGCAAGTGAGATGCAAGTGAAACACAGTGTTGAACTGTTGATTACTCATTCTGCTTCAGATTATTCTTACAAACTATATACATATGCTGTATGTTAAATATTATATAAAACATCTAATAAAATATTAGATGAGATTAGATTAAAATCTCAAGACTAATCAGAATTTTTGAGGCTGTCAAAATTAAGTCTTTGGGCCTGGTAAATACACATTTTTGAAAAAGATGCACAAAATTTAGAGGCACAAATTTGACAAGGATCTCAAATTTCAAGTGCTTTTTGTGGAGATTATCCAGACTTTTGGAGCTTTGTTGTCATTTCAGGTCTTCTGAAAGCTCCCAACTTTCCTTGCTAGGCTGACAGCAACCAAATGTTAGCAATCCTTCTTAAGCCTTTCCCTAGCACTACAAAATTGATGGGGTATTTTCCAGTCATTTTCTAAGAACTATTTTACAATTGCTTTTTATCCTACCTTTACCCAGTGCTTGAGTTTGTGTTCTCATAGCTTCTATTTTATTCTCTTTCCCCTCAGTGCATTTTGCTTAATATTCAGTATTGTACCAGGACTAGAGAAAATGAGCTCATGACTGGGAGTGAATGAAGTAGACTTGTATGACATAAAAAATTGTATAAAAATATATTGAATGATTTATTTAGGGATGTGAGTATATTATACCAGTAATCTAATTCCCAGTATCTTCCTAAGCAGCTTTCAAAACCAGTTTTTTTGTTTCTTTGGGTTTTGAATTGCTGTTAAAATAATGAAAATGGATGGAGCTGATGATGAATCACCATGACAATGTTTACTATCACCAGGGATTTTTGCCAGAGTGTTTTAATCAGTAACAAGGTCCCAGTGGTGCTGGCCCACTTAAACCTGCAGATAAAAATAATATTATTGCTATTTTCTTTATTTGTACTGGTGTTGCAACAGCTTAAATTAAAGCTTCTAGTAAGAGCAATAAATTAATCTCTTTCAAAGCTCTGTGGTTAGATGGCAGGCAAGGATGCTAAGAGCTTGCTTGGGTTTTCCCGTGTAGCTCATGGGCTGATGTACCTCAGAGGGAGAAGACACAGGGGCTGGCTTCGTTTAAGCACCTTATTGCAATGCCACTGTTTCAGTGCCCAGGAGTGCTTCCCAACCAGACTCAAAATAGTCAACAGAAAGAGGCAGGTGCCTCCAGATGACTTTCAGAGAATGCACTTGAAAGGATCTTTAGTTACTCTTACTTGCCCTGCATAGACATGCAGCTTTCTGCAGAGGGAGCCTAGAGAGCGCTGATGTGATATGTTCAAATCAAGTAATGTGGATATTTCTGTAGCTGTAGCTGTGAAATGACAGTCCATGGAAAATTTGTTTCTAAGGAAGTGCTAAACCTTACTTTGCATGTCAGTATCAAAAATCTTGTGGGTGTAGCTTGGACCAGACGTTACCTTAGAAGAAGGAAACTAAACAAAACCAAAGCAAGCACAGAATCAGAAACAACATTAAATGGTTATTTCTCACACCAACAATCAACAAAGGCCTGGTAAGTAGGATTATACTCTCAAGCCTTTATCCTGCATGTGGGGACTTCATTACTGATTGGATCGGGGATTCTATTACTTGAATTAGTCAGCCGTGCAGGTACATAAGCTCCTGATTCTGAGGAGTTTGGGTCAATTCAGAATTTGTTTGTTTGCAACCGTCATTAATTCTGTTAGCAAAAGCAATTACAGATGGCAATAGAAGCAATATAAGCACCAGCTGTCATGGAAGTCATAACTCCGGAAATCTTTTCCTCAGGTTGTATACTTCAGTGGCACAAATAATTGCACAATAACTAGTATTATTTGTCATTTCCTATATGGGGTATGAAGACATACCAATATCTGACATCTTTTCTTTCAGGATGACTTTCTGTATAGTGTCTCCGTTTTAAGTGGAATCCTTTGCACTGTCTTGGCAGTAATCAAATTTATGCTGGGAAAGGTCCTTACAAGCAGAGCGCTGATAACCGATGGTGAGTGTGAAGTTGATCCTGCTGCATTTATAGACTCTTACAGCAATTGTAGATGCAGAGGATATGAGTGACCCCTGCATGATGACAACTGTGAAAGAGTATTGAAATAATTTCCACCGGGAAATGGAAAATGCCCTGCAAAACCTTAGATAAGCCTGTGGTACCACTCGCCTCTTGTGCAGATAGATACCTCAGCTGAAATGGGCATGTCTGGTGGAAGCCAGTTAATGCGTGGATAGTTAGCAGTAGCAGAGAGTTAGAGGTACAGCATATAACGAAAAGGTGTGTATTAGTCAGAGGTTAGACTACGGAGGGGGGATATGACACCAGTTTATATAGCTTTGGTTAAAAGTCACATCTTTCCTAACTGTCTGTGCCTAGTAAACAATTTCATCCCTGGAGTTAAAATGAAGCAAGTCTGTTGCAGAAAACGCCCACCCTGCCTTGAGCAGGAATCACAACCATCATTCATACATACCCCCTGCAGACATAATTTGCCACTGTAGTGCTTTTCCTTCCACTCGGTATAGCTGGTGGAGCATGTATAAAACAAAGCCTGCCTACTGCCCTACACTCCTCTGGCCTCGCCGCAGTTTGGCACAAGGGGAATCTTGTCCACTACATCCTTAGAAGACCTCCCTGCCACTACTCTTGGCTCAGATGTGTAGCACCTGACTGTTACTGGTTTTGAAAGTATGTATGTTTAAAGGCATGTTTTAAACGTAGGTCCAGATACACCTGTTACTGACAAGGCTCGAGGTTGTGAATCTTCAGAAAGCCATGAGGCTTTATTCTGTTACCTTCTGGATAAACGAGTGAGGCCACAGTGGTGGTGCAGATTTCTCAGCGCCCTACAAACCCCTACGAGTTTTTACCTGCAAGCACAGGATGGTTTGAAATACTCTGTAAGCATACACGGTAGGGTGTTAATGATTCATGGATTGTGGTACATAAATTATTTTACTCTGCTAAAGATTTCACTGTAAGGAAATTGAATTTTCGGCTTACTCTAGGGATACATACAGTTGCTTTATTTTAAGTAACTTAAACATACTCAACATTTTTTGGTGGTATGTGATAACACATATTATGAATATTTATATTTTATGTTATCCCACTTATATAAATGCTTCATGAGTATTCATATTTTAAATGCAAAATGAGCAAAAAAGGAATCAAACAGCAGTGCGGGGGTTACAGCTAAGCTTGTGATTCTCTGTTCAGTGATCTTATTCTTTACTATGGACTCTGCCAGCCTAGGCATTTTAAAACAAAAAGATCTCCACCCTGCAAAAAGGATTCTGGAAAGGATCCTGGGAATTACAGGCTACTGAATCTGACTTCCTTCACTGTGTGAGAGTTAAGTGGGACACGTAGACCGTTTCAGATCTGTGTCTAGACAAGCAAATGATTAACCCTCCCTTTAAAAAAGAAGTAGCTTGTTTTTGAAACAGAGCAGGTTTTATTCAGACAAAATATTAGCTGAAAAATTCCTGAATAGTTCTGAATGGGTTTCCTGTACGACACAGAAATCTCTTCCCCCATAATTACATCCTCATGCTAATTATGTTGCTTCTGAGCTGGAGATTGCTTATTCTTTGATTAAAAAATTTAGGAAATAAAGTATACAATTATCTCAGTCTGGTTTTTTCCTCCCTTTTCTCTCCTTCGGAACTACTTTAGAAAATGTAGGAGGCCAATCTTACCATTTGTGGTTAAATATCTTCTTTCACAAGATATATTTACATATATACTTGATTTATTAACAATCAAGAGGAGACAATGTGATTCAGCAGCAGGGACAGATTTAGCACTCCCTTTCATATCTTTTTTTAGTGTTTTCTGTTTCCTGCTTTCTGCGATCACTGGCTGTAGACCAACAAACTGTTTTGAGTAACATGAGCATACATTTTTCTTCCTGAAAAATAGGTTTATTTCCAAAACAGCAAATTCTCTCTCATATGGGTCAACCTCTAGCAACATTTTTTTTAAAGAATAATTTTTTTTTTAGAGTAGGGCCTGACAACAATATCTCTTTAAAGCCTAAATGTATGAATCCTAATAAGGCAAAATGTTATTTGTACAGTTTGTTTGTAGCAAAAGTGCATGGCCTTTTGGATAATAAACCCAGCTATCTCCTATCTTGTATTTTGTAACATCTAGGAGGAGAAATGCAGGTATGTGACAGGTGATGTCAGCCAGCTTTCCTGTAGGTTTTAGATACCTGTTTCCTTCCCAGATTTAGCCACCTGCTTATTCCTATGCAAACCTTATGCACAGAACATGGCATATGGATTAATACCTGCAGCCATTACATGATTTCCTTTCCTACCAGGAATGAAAGGTTTGATTGACCGACAAAGTCAGGGAGAGAAAACAATTTCCTTTGTAAGTATCTTTTAAATCGTTTGGAACCATCAGCCAATGATGGCAAGAAAACGTATTATTCCTGCCTTTTGCGTATCACACTGGTGGATTCTGACTTAAGCTAGAGCATGGGAAGTAAATATCATTTAAATTTGTAGTTAATTTATATTTAATATTCTTTATATATACACACAATATATATTTCATTGACATGTATTAGTAGTGTAAGTTATATTGCCCAGGACTAAAAAAAGATCAGAGTACTTCTAGACTAGAGTGTTGGCAGAGTAATTGTGTCTATATTGTTTAAGTTTACTGGTATAATTAATTCAATAATCAGGCAATTACATGCAATGCCTGCGATACCACTTGTAGAATGCACTGCAACAGTTCGAAAAACCTTCGACACCCTTCTCTTTGCATGGCTGGAAGCCTGAAGCCTTTGTATGATATGTTCTACCACAGACTTGCTAAGTAACACATGCTTTTCTATGCCAGGGTTTCCTTTGCTTTTAAGTACCTACTGACAGGGACCTGGTGAATCTTAAGCAAAATACTGATGGGTTATACAAGCATTTCAGCTGCAGGGATACCTAGGAAAGGTCAATTTTCAGCTACATCTTTCAGAAGTACTTAAAACATGATTTAGATAAGGCATAGATGTGAGAGGTCTGGGTCAAAGAAAACATTCAGGAATAGGTGTAATCTATGTGGTTGTTGGCAGTCATGGGGATTGGAGAAAAAAACCTGCCTCAGTACTGTAAGTAGCTGCTGACTGGAGTTGACTCACCAAGCAGTACAGGTTATTTCAAGTTTGATTTTTCATTTGTTAACTAGATTAAATAGTTTATTTATCTATCTACGAAATGAATGCATTATCAGTGACATTATTTTATTTTGTAGAACAACAGTGATGTCTTTTGGGTTCTTGAGGGGAAAAAAAAGAGACAAAGGGAATTTGGGGGAAAAAATGAACACAAGGATTGACTTAAAAAACCCCAAACCAATAACCAATCAAAGAAGAATTAAAGGAAGAAGAGCATTAACTATTTAAAAACCTCTGGGAGCATTTTGAAGGGACAATCTTGGAGACAAAGGGTTTAAAAAGGAAAGAGAAATCTAAAAGTATGTTTATAAAAATTGTGAATAATAGATAGGAAGCTCCTGTGAAATGTCTAAGGCATAAATAGAAAATATCCCTAGGATTATCCTGTATGTCTTCCCTAATGCATTCAGCAGTGTATGTAGCTCTAAGCTATAGTGCCGAATACGTGTAAGTAAATATACGGAATAGGGTAAGAAGCTTCAAGAGAAGGTCTTTGAAATGTTACTGTGCAAAATCATTTTCCTTTTCATGAGCTCCTTGGGTATACTGGACTGGTGTCCTCCCTTTCAGAGAAAGTGTGAACATTTGGGTACTTTACCAAGGGGCCTTTCAAGGTCTAACTGGGGAAATTTGCACATGCAGCAATAGTAACCTGTTATGAAGACGTTCTTCGGAGGGTAACGTGGCTATGGCAGGCATCCTCAGGGCTGCAGCCAGCAAGTCCCTCCACGCCCCGGGCCCCCCCCAGCCAGTCCCTCTGTCACAGCTCAAAGATCGTTCATTCATTACGATAAGTGAGATATGCCTACAAGAGAGATAAGCACTTGACTGTCAGTCAACATGGAGCAGGTCCAGTATTTTGAAGGAATATTGCTGTTTGGAAAATTAGTATCAAGAGGAGAAAGCATCTGGAAATAAACAGCAGCTGGAAGTGGGATCTGGAACTAAACAGAGAATGAAGAAATTGGGACTGAATGAAATCAAGACAGGCAGTAACAGGGAAAACAGAATCACAGGAGGGTTTGGGTTGGAAGGGACCTTCAGGATCATCTAGTTCCAAGCCCCTGCCGTGGGCAGAGACACCTCCCACTAGATCAAAGTTGCTCGAAGCCCCATCCAATTAATGTAAAGTTATTTGTAGCCACCAGAATAAGTGTTCTTAAACACTGGTGTGGCACTGACTGTTCTGTTCGATTTGTTGAAATGAAGGTGGCAGCAGAGACCTCTGGGTAACTGCATGTGAACAAATTGCACTGCTGCCTCCTTAGTATGGTGCAAGAGGTGCCACTGTGTAACCTCTCCCAAGGGTCCATGCTCTTCTCTGGTGGCGTGGGTATAACAGTGCCTTGTCTCCAGGCAGACTTCCACTTAGGTGAGATGGTTAAAGCAACTTTCTTGAGCTTTGGTTCTTCCTTTAATTATTTTTTTTTCCCCTTCTAGGTTTCAACTCTCTTGTAGGTGGAATAATGGGATTTTCCATCCTTCTTAGTGCAGAAGTTTTTAAACACAATTCTTCTGTCTGGTATCTGGATGGCAGTATAGGAGTTTTAATTGGACTTACAATATCTGCCTATGGAATCAAGTGAGTATCTTCTTATAGCAGGTATTTTAGTATGTACAGCAGATGGGCTGTCTGTTTAGGGTGATTAAGCCATACGTCTTAAAGGCTTATGTAACTCCAGTAAAATCAGTTGCTGGAATTTATTAGACTCGTGGCCAGTGCTGAAGCAGAGGGTGTGGAAAGGGATAAAAGATTGTGTCTCACATCAGTTGGAAGGAAGCCAGAGCTTGAAAAGAAATTTGAGTAGTTTTAGAAGACTTTTGTATACCTGGATTTGGAAATACAAGGTTTGAAATATTTGAAACATAATCACGAACCTTGGATAAAATCAATCCCTGTTGCTTTTATGGGACATTTGTAAGTCTTGTTCTTTACAAATACGGTTTAGATTAAGAGGAAGGAGCCCAAGTTTAAAGAATGATGTTGCTAGTGATTTCCATCCTAGCCTTATCCTATAGCAACTTCTGAAGTGAACATTAGCCAGTTGTGTTTCAAATGTTGTTTCCATTGAATTTTAAGGTGTTTTTTGATTCATGTCACCAGAAATAGAATAAAATCAAATTAAGCTCTGCCATGTGCTTCATTGCTGCCACAATTTCCCTTGGCTGCATGGAATCTAACAAAGGGTTTTGCATTTTATCCCCCTTTCTGTCATAAGAAAAACAGGGAGATGTAGCATCTTAGTCAGTTGGAATTGTGCCTGTTGAGAAGCAGACCTTGGCCAGGCTGCAGTAAGCCATCACCTGGAAGCTGTGTGGGCTTTTATAAACTTGGAAAATTAAATTAACATTTAATGGAAAATGCCATTCTTGGAAAAATCCCTATAATTACTATTTCCATTATAAAACTAACTGTTCTGAAAAAATGTAGAGGAAAATCTATCCAAAACTATATATTTAAACATACCAAATAGCATCAGAAACATTGAAAGTCATGCTACACACATGCCATGAGTCTGCGTGACAGCACGTACAGCCATTGTGTCACCAAGACACAATGAATGCTGATGAGGGACAAAACTGAATTCTGTTTGTGAAACTACTGCAATTCTCCTCTTCTGTTGGACACCTTCCTCCCACAGCCTGATGTGGTACAGGTTCCTGTATCAGTCCCTGGCCCACTAATCATACCATGGCTTCTCCAGCCCCAAGTGACTGCAGCCATGCACCTCATTTCTCAGTGCAGCCCTGCAGCCAAGCTTCCCGAAGGAAAGCCCTGCTCCACACAGTTTGTTTTACACACCCTTTTGGGCAGAATTAATTGCAGGACGGGATTAATTCTGATCAGGAGAAAGCAAGAGAAGGCTGTTAGAACATCTTTTAACTCATAAAATAAATTAGTATTTGTAAGTAAGGAGAAGACCCCCATTCCAGGGCTTTCCTGTGTGTCTGCATCAACACTCTCGTGCTTTCCTCTGCAGGCTGCTTATCGATATGGTACCTCGTGTAAGGCAAACACGCCATTATGAAATGTTTGAGTGAAGATGACACCCTCTCCTTTGTAAGGACTGTAGAACTACAGCATTGTACATTTTGGCAAGTGGTGCCAATAGTATTTTACTAAATATGCAGTTTGTTTCCCGTGGTCTGGTTTTGTTGAAGTTCGTTTTAATGGGAAATATCTCTGTAAAACTGGCATATGTGCACACTGCTTGCAGTTCAGCAAAACAGCAGCGTTATTATATTTTTTTCAAGTATGCTTTTGATTCCTGTGACAATAGAAAACATTCAGTTTGCAGTTTTAACCCAGCTGCCATGTTGTATATTCTGGAGTGAAAGTGTTCTTAATGGTGTGATAAGCCTGTGGGTAAAGAAGTGCCAGTTTCAGATCTTGTTTTTTTGGGTTGTTCCCCGCCTCCCCCTGGCCTGTATTTTCCCAAACACATGCTGTAACAGAAGTACAATCCTTGCTAACCTCTTCAGCTAACAGAGTATCCTACGTAGAGTCTGGACACCGAGAGCTGTGTTGCTTTGAACACTTAAGTAGCTACTTCCTCCCCCTCTTTCCAACAGATGTACAGAAAGAGCAGGTACAAACCTTTCTGTGACCAGAGAGATACTACAGCATTTTAATCCTAAATTAACTGAAACTATACCTCTACAATTTAAATTCTATTTTTTCTTAACAAGACACTGTTCATAGCTTTGCATGGACCAAACAAGCACACACAGTATTACTGTACAGACCAAAGCCGAAAAGTCGTGCGAAGAAGAGGAGCTGCTTGAGAAATGGGATTTTCACCTTCTATTACAACTATACACAGATGTACCAGTGTGCGTGACTTTGTGGTTGCTCTGTAGTCTGATGATGGCACAGCAGTGGCTCAATCTTGTGGTGAGATACAGATCTACTTACTAGATTTAGATTGTCCTGTAAAGTGTTGCTCACCTTCCATCACACATCTTATATATTACTTAATAGCAGGTTAAATTATTAAAGAATCTTGATGTATAATCAATAAAACTGGTATCTATTTTATACAGTATCTGTAAGTAACATTTGAAAACTATTTCCAGAATGTATCATAGAATAAAGTCTTCCTGTATAGTGGCCTATTAAACTGGATTCTCTGGCTATATCCATTTTCTCTTCATTTTATGTATTCCAGGTTGGTTTTCATAATGCAGAACCAGTATTGTTGCTTCTGTTTAGCACAGGTGGATAAAAAAACACTTTGAAAAGGACCACGGTAAGTAGCCAAGTAGCTAGAAATGGGCATTTCTATCTACACACCAATGGATTACACAAACTAGAGTAGATGTACAATTAGAAGGTTCAGTTTTTGAAGTATAGTGGGGATTCTCATTACAATGATATTTTCACTGGTGCCTTGTGTTGCTTAATACCATATTTCCCATCATATGTCACTTAGTAAGTTCTCAGCCGGATACTTAAGGCTCTCTAGTAACAGCCAACTCCAAATGATGTGTGTAGGAAGGGGCCACCCAAAGCTTTCACTGACCTGACAACACCTCTGTGAGGTGCACAATATTGAAAGGTGATGCTCAGTTTCACTTGAAACAGAAAATTCCTTACAACAAGAGGAATTTTTTCTGCTGCTACAGTTTGTTTACACATATTTTGGATCAATTAAGTTTGTATACCTATTTGTATGCAAACTTTATAATGTTATTGCTGTCAGTACTGATGCTGCTTGTGTCTTGCTGTCGCAGGATGATGTTAGAGATCATCAGGTCACTCAACAGTAGAGATGAACATAAGCACAACGCTTGACAAGACAAAGGAGCTAATTCATAAATGCATTCAGTGAGGACTTCAGGAGGACTGTAAAGTATAGGAGTCATTGCTGTACACATCACAGGTAGATTGTTAAAAGTGAAATACCACCCAAGACCCTTTCTTCCTACACATGTTCCTAGCTTGTTATGCTTTTTCTTAGTCCTGCTATTTTCCCATTACACTTTCACTGTAACTTGTAGTTCCATGAAGCAAACTGTGGAGCAGGTATTTCCACACTAATTAACTAGCTTTTTTCAAGCATCATGTAGCATAAAGGGGAAGGAAAAGCTTCAAACTGAGAGATGGTAGATTTACATTAGGTATTAGGAAGAAATTATTTACCGTGAGCTAAACTGGCACAGGCTGCCCAGTGACGTTTTGGTTGCCCCATCCCTGGCAGTGTTCAAGGCCAGGTTGGATGGGGCTTGGAGCAACCTGGGGTGGTGGAAGGTGGTCCTGCCTGTGTCAGGGGGGTTGGAACTAGATGATCTTGAATGTCCCTTCCAACCCAAACCATTCTATGATTCTATGACCTTCAGCCACAGAATCATAGAACCCAGAGCTCGAACGTAGCTATATTAGACATGTCATGGTTTTGTTAGTACCATTTACCATCTTCCGCTGCTCCAGGGGCTTTACTACTTCCCCAGTCCCTTTGCTAGTTGTGAGAATGACGCTTGGGATCTACTAAAAGTGCTTCTTTGTAGGGCCATGCACACCAGCAACCTGTTTGTGGCTGAGGCTTCTGAAGGGAAGTGGGGAGAACTTGGACGTGGCAAAATACTTAGCTCCTGATCCAGCCTTTGCTGCACAGAAGTGCTAGGTCATTGGAAGTATGTAGGTCATTCAAACCAACATGCAGCTCAAACATTAAATAATTCTGGTTAAAATGCTGAGTGTAAATAGGAGCACAGGACTTCGCAGATGTGTTCACGAATGAAGCAAAGCTAAGCACTGAGTAAATGACACTTCTTCCTGGAACTCTGGAATGCTCTTAGAGGCTGTAAGTACAAACACCAGCTGTGTGGCCTTTGAAAAGGAGATGTGGTTAAACAAGTTAATCATACTTTTTTTTTTGTCAGATAAATTTAAACCAATTGCAGAAACTTTTCAGTTACCACAGGTGCCTCAAAGCATTTCTGATATTAGCAGGTAAATACAAGAAAATAACTGAAATACTTGTGATACTTAAAAAAGACCCAGGAAATAATGGTACTCAGAAATGAAAGCAAATACATGCTGATAAAGCCAGCTAGCATCAAGGTGATTTGTATGGGACATGACAATAGGAGAGAAAATAACTGCTCACCCAATTTACTGAGAGACTTTGCTGTAGCCAGCCACCCTCAGTTTCTATATTAGTTTCCTTTATTAAATGTCTGAGCCAGTCAATTTTTTCTAATGGTGCTCTAACAAGTGTGCTTCCAGCTAAGCTAAGCGAGGGTGGACTTTTCAAAAGCTGAAATAGCTCAAAAGCACTCTGACTAATCACCTGAAACCTGGCACTGGCCAGCATAATACTATGGTGATCACAGGCCACCCGAGCTTGTCAGCACTGCCCGTCCCTCTTTGTTGTGCACAGGACGCACGGAAGGAGCTCCAGTGTTCCTACGAGGACCAGCTCTGGCCAGTATAGAGCCAGGATTGCCAGTTAATCCATGAAAGTGCCTACAAATCTGAGCAGATGTTTTAAATTTGGCCATATTGTTCAGCAGAGAAGAACACTATCAAAACCTCTCACAGTAAGAATTACACCACCTGCAGTCTTGGATCCCAAGCCCTGCCCCGCATGCAGGTTTATTTTAATAATGGCAAATGATAATGTTCCACTTACAGCTAGAAGACAGGTACTTTTGATTGTCATCCAGAAATCACCAAACTTGACTTAACATCCCTTGTTGATTTAGTCCCATTTTACCTGTAGCAATAGTAGGCAAACTATTCAATAAGCATCCGTCAACCATCCTGGAAAAATAGAGCCTCCAGAGAAGCTCCTTGCAGAAAATAATCCATAAACAGATGTGAAGCAAAGACCCCAGATTGGAAGCTCCTCAGACGTGGGCAGATTCAGTTCTAGGCATACCTGCAGCAGGGAGTGCGCCCTAGGGATCTCACCATCAGTACTGCCATCGCGTTTCTGCAACCCCAGCTGCCCAGGAGTAAAGGGTCAACATTTCTGTCACTCTTCTTTGTGGGCCAGCTCATGGAGATGCGAGGTCACCAGACAAGTATTAATAGAAGATTTTGGGTTGGAAGGGACCTTTAAAGGTCATCTAGTCCATCTATTAAGCCTTAATAATACACAAAGCAAGACTGTTTGTTCCTAACAAGACATTTTTGCTCAGTCAAATTTATACTCAAGAAATAAATAAACGTCTTTTCTACCAATTTTCTTTTGAAGTCTCTGAGCATGGCATATTACACAGAAGGCCATGATAGCAGCAAGCTGCCTCTGCAGCACCAGAGATAAGGAACCACTGAAGCTACTTGACTAGAGATTATCCCTGGGGTGCAGGGACTTGTGTTGATGTGCAGAATCTGCACGTAGGAAAGCGTTCTGCTGTGCTCTCAGCACCCGTCATTTCTCACCACTGCTCTCAGGAGTCAGCTGTAGCCTGCACTAGGTGCCTTGCCACCAAGCGGTGCTGCAACAAAGGCCATCGCCAAGCCTGGGCTGTGTTTATAGTAACTAGGCAGGAGTAGCCCACAAAAACACATTCCTGTGGCCTGGCGTCGCGGCCCAGGTTGCGCAATTGGAGAGTGTAATTAAATCAAATAGCAGACAACCGAGGGATATTTCCCTCTCCTGTTCCTCCCACGTTTGGGAGCTGATGTTTTCCTTTCAGCCACAAGACCAGTATTTGGGGCAGCCCTGAACGGTTCCTGAATTTCACCCATTTACTGTGCAGTTACCCACCGCAGTGAGCTCACCTAGAGCAGCTCAGGAGAACCCCCATGTGCGGGCCCCACATGAGCTGACACAGGCAGCAACACAACCAACCATTTGGGTACAGGGAGGCTGACCGCACAGGCCACCCAAACCTTCTAAAGAAGGGCTGCTTTTCCAAGTTACTGTGGCGAGTAAGTAGGAAACATCCCGTTTTGTCATCCACCACCACTGCCACCAACCCCAGTGTCCTGAAAGTGCCCCTGAATGACGCGGGTCTTACCAGAGTGTCACCCGTCACCTCCCCACACAGTAAGGAGTGGAGGCAACACCTATCCTGAACTGGCTGAGTGACAAGGAATGCCAATCTCCTTTTACTGGGGCAGACCTACCCATCAGAATCCAAGCCTGCAGCGCAGCCTTGGGCAAATCGCATCGATTCCTCCCTCCTGTGGAGGCGGGGAGGAAAGGTCTTTGAGGAGTTGGCAGCTTCCACTCCAAAGATTTACCGTGCTATTACTTACATAGTTGTTGCTGAAACACTGGAGGCACAAGCCTTGGTACATACGCTTCTGAATTGGTATTACTGTTTCAGCGTATTTGTCCGGTGCTTCTTTTGTTTTGAAGTTTCCCTTCTCACAGACACACACGAGGCCAGGGCTCCTCTGAGGGCTGAAGCGAGTCTCCTGGGAGGACAGGCCACCGAGCCAAGGGTCCGCAAGACAAAGCAGGACATACAATGAGATTTAACAGCTGGAGCCTGTTGGGTGCAAACAACATGCCGTTTCTTTGGCAACAATGATTTAGTACCAGGATTTTAGTTAATGGGAATCTCCATAATCAGTAAAATAATAAAGTGTGCAAGTCCTGACAAGCATAAACATCAATATGGAGCGTTGCAGGGTGGTAAATGGGGCTGTGCCATCCCTTGCACACCGACGAGGAAGCGTCAGTGCGAGGAGAGGCTTCTGAGAGCCACACAAGTCCCAGCAAAACATTTCCATCTGTGGACTCCCTCCCAGATGGCGTTTGAGTAAACCCAGTGGAAGTGTGTGAGAGTTGAAGTATTTAGTACTTAAGCTTCCCCAATGATCTTTCCAATACAGCTGCATGGCGTGTGTGGTTTTTTATTCCAAGTTCCAATTTTTATGCATTTTTTTTCCATTATGTGACTGCAGCACAGCCCACATTTGACTCTAGCTACTCACAGTTTTACAGATGACTCCTTATAATGTCAGCACTGAACAACAGTTAGGGAATGAAATAGGAAGGAAAACACTTCCAAAAATAACCAGAACGGGGCGGGGGGATGAATGAGCAGCGTCCTCTGATAATTCATTTTGATGTTAGGAAACATTTGGGAATTGGGGTGTGGTGAATAGCAACACAGGACAAGAAAACTTTCACCCATTTCAGTGAGGTGGGGTATGCCAAGAAATACTCACAAGAAG